ACCTTCAGAAATCATAAAATACTTTCATTAGGAAGACTCCTGGGCCCAAGAATTTGTTCTGAAGAGATTGATCTCTATCATTCCAAAAGAGTAGAATATATCACACTTTGTTCCATGATCGAGGAATCCCCAGTAGATACACAAGAGAAGCACACATATATGTTCTCTATGTTACTTTTATAATTGTCAAAACTGCAAACAATCTAAATGTCCATCAGTAGTAGAATAGATAAAGTGTGTTGTTGTTGCTCAGTCGCTAAATTGTGTCTGACTGTTTGTGACCCCATGGACTGCAGAATGCAGTTTGCTCAAATTCATGTCCATTGAGTCAGTAATGCTATCTAACTATCTCATCCTCTGCCGACCTCTTCTCCTTTTGCCTTCAGTCTTGCCCAGCATCAGGATCTTTTCCAGTGAGTCAGCTCTTCACATCAAGTGGCCAAAATACTGGAGCTTTAGCTTCAGCATCAATCCTTGCAAAGTATATTCAGGGTTGAGTTCCTTTAGGATTGACTGGTTTGATCACCTTGATGTCCAAGGGACTCTCAAAAGTCTTCTTTTTCAACACCACAGTTTGACAGCATCAGTTCTTCAGCGCACAGTCTGTGGTCCAACTCTGACATCTGTATGTGACTACTGGAAAAAGCATAGCTTTGACTTATACAGACCTTTGTTGGCAAAATGATTATTCTGGTACATTTACTTTATGAAAACTCAAGGCATTCTTTTCTGTAGGTATAGTTAAGCCTCAGTTAAAATTATATGTATATGTGATATATATATATATATAAAATATGTGCACATACATATTTATAAAAATATATAATGCAATGTATGTATTATCAGTTCAGTTCAGTTCATTTCAGTCACTCAGTCGTGTCCAACTCTTTGTGACCCCGTGAATCGCAGCATGCCAGGCCTCCCTGTCCATCACAAACTCCTGGAGTTTACTCAAACACATGTCCATCGAGTCAGTGATGCCATCCAGCCATCTCATCCTCTGTCGTCCCCTTCTCCTCCTGTCCCCAGTCCCTCCCATCATCAGGGTCTTTTCCAATGAGTCAACTCTTCGCATGAGGTGGCTAAAGTATTGGAGTTTCAGCTTCAGCATCAGTCCTTCCAATGAACATCCAGGACTGATCTCCTTCAGGATGGACTGGTTGGATCTCCTTGCAGTCCAAGGGACTCTCAAGAGTCTTCTCCAACACCACAGTTCAAAAACATCAGTTTTTCAGTGCTCAGCTTTCTTCACAGTCCAACTCTCACACACATGTATACACATAGACATGTATTGCATTCAAAATGTAACTACTTCTGATCTTCTCTGCTATTACCTCCACCCTAAGACTACTTCAATACCTGTTTTCCCCAGTTCCTCTCATGCATCTTTGGAGTCCTCACTTGTAGCCAGGATAATTTTTAAAACAGAAGCCAGGTTACCTCTGTCCTTGGCTCATAACCAGTAGCAATGGTTCCTGTATCAATCAGAATAAAATCCTCAAAGGAGACACATCCCTGAAAGCCTATTTAAAATAGCCTTACTGCCCAGACCTGTCACTTTTATCCCTTTAGCCTGCTTTATTTTTCTTTATAATTCCTGTCACCACCTGACATACCATTTACTTGGTTATTTATTGACAACTGGTCTCTCCACCACTAGTATGTAAGCTACCTGAAAGCAGGAACTTTATTATATCCTTAACATCAAGAACAATGCCTGCCATCATATAGCAGGCAATGAATGAATGGATGAATGAATGAGATCATCACCAAACCACACAGGAATTAAGGCAAAATATGTATGTCCAACCCTCTTCTATATGTTAGGCAACTAAAAGAATTAAATTACTTTAGGAAACAAAAAAAAAATGAAATGAAATACATGCATAATTTATTCAGGAGTACCATTCAGATATTCTGTTTCTCTCTCCTTCTCACTTCTGTTCCTCCCCTCCCCCATGCCCACATGTACTCATGTATACACTGGCATTGGCACAAAGAGAATGGAATAAGAACAGTTCTCCTAATTGACAGGAGTATGAATGTAAACTATAAACTACCCCCTTCAGTACAACTTATAGTCACTTTATTTACATCAGATAGCCATAAATTATATTAATTATATATATATATACTATATATGCATGTGTGTTTGTGTATAATTACAAAGATTATATAATTCTAGTGGTTCAGAATTAATTGAGAGTGACATCCAGGTAAAGTTTTATTATATTGGAATCAAGCACCTTTACAGGAGCCTTATTTTGTGATCCTTTGAAATACATGATAGTAAAGAACTCATTTATTTTCCTTGCCAAGATGTATATATTTTGGACCTAGGGCAGCTCCCTCCAGCATTTTGCATTACAAAAACTTTCAAACAAAATAAAACCATTCTGTTAGGTCCTGCAACAATCAAAAACTTTCCAGGCTCAGAAGATAAAATTTTTTGTACGTGAATCTGTATAGAAATTGAGATTGTTTCAGTCAAAAATCTCCCCTCCCTGTTCTCAGAATGAATTGTAGAGCCCCTGGAGCAGACAAGGGTGTCTAAGGTTAATCTCTGTTTCTATATAGATATCAATTACCTTTTCAAAAGGCTACCCAGTGGGATTTGCTACTTGGCAGGTTGTCTAAAAACTAGCTAAATGTACTAATGTGTGTGGCAGGGGAGGAAAAGGTCCAGTTTGGTTGTCAACCTAGTTGACCCTTCAGTTTTTGTACAAAGAAAAAAATATTTTTTTTAAAAGGGAGAGTTTTAAGCCCTTTCAGTTGCTAAAGAGCTGATTTCACAGTTTTGTTGGTTTATTTTTTTTAATTGAAAAAAAATGGGAAACCATGATAAGCCCTCAAGTGCATAATATGTGCTCACCTGCTAGTATGAGTCTCCTTCATCTCCTCCTCCCTCTTCAGAGTGAGAATATTTTATGATTTCTGAAGATCTGTGTTTTCGTAAAGAAAAGCAGTAAGCATAATATCAGGCCCCATAGCTCCAAACGTAGGTTAAATAATAAAATGAAACCCAGGATACGAGTGTAACAAGGCCAGTGTCAGAAGATCATTCATTTATCAAGTAATTAAATCTTTTAATAAGACAGAAAATGATGGTTAAAGGGAATGATGACCTTTACTTCTGAGTGCAAAATAACCGGTAATGTCAGAGGAGAAAGCAATGCTAAAGTTCATCTTGAAGCTCAGACTTACAGATCTGGAAGGGAAGTGTGGAAGTGATGAAGATGTGCATGACTCCAGTGTGGGATTCTTGCTTCACCTTGGCCACACAAACTTGGAAGCTGTGTAACCTAGGGCAAGTTACTTAACTTCTCTGAATCTCAGCTTCACAGAGATATAAAATTAGGATGGTAAAATTATCTATCTTGCAGAGATTTTGTGAAGATTAAATGAAGTCTTGGTTCTAAAAGTGTTTTGTTGCCAAGAATATGCTGTGATAATGTTTAGGATTATTACTGTGCTTAAATAATTTATTGAGTACCCTTCTTACCTTCTGTCTTCCTCCAAAAGCCACTTCTCTAAGGTTTGGCTAAAATTATCCCCATCCTTCCCAGGTGGCTTCCCAGGTAGCTCTAATGGTAAAGAACCTGCCTATGAGTGCAGGAAAACATCAGAGACACAGGTTCAATCCCTGGGTTGGGAAGATTCCTTGGAGGAAGGCATGGCAATCCACTCCAGTATTTTGGCCTGGAGAATCCCATGGACAGAGGAGCCTGGCGGGCTACAGTCCATACGGTTGCAAAGAGTCCGACATGACTGAAGTGACTTAGCAGCAAGAGCATCACCATCCTTGAGGTTTGCCTTCCAGATGAGGATATTTTTCACCAATTAAATGAGAACTTTTCATATGTTCCATTTCTGAAGTGGCTCGCCTTATGCCTTCAAAATAGAACTATGGCCTTCTCTAAAACCCAAATTATTAATGCAAGTACATGAACAAGAAGCTCCCTGAGACCCTTAAAGATAGGAAAATTGGAGATGGAGATTAAAACGTAAGGGGGGGGGGTCCTTTCCTTTTTCATCCTAGGATGGAACATTGTCCCATTTTCCTAAATATTTTTCTCTCTATAATAGAAAAAAATAATGAACACATCATATGCCATGCATTGTGATATGCATTATTCATGTAATCCTCGCAACAGACTAATGCACTCTATTTTTGCCACTTAAAGACAAGAACTATAGTTAGAATAAGTTATTAATAGCTTGACCAGGGTCACCTACCTACTAAGTGGTAGAATTGGATTTTGAACCCAAACCTGCCTAATTCATTTCCCAGTATTTTTCCATTTTTTTTTATTATTTGCCTCCTACATTTTAACTAATTTTGCATGTCTTGTTTGCCTTTCTATCCCTCTGTACATTCATCCTTTGTATTTTTGTAATGAGTAGGGTAGAGGACTGTAACAAAAAAAGACTAAGGTATAGTCCCTGTGCTCCAGAAACTATGCTAATCAATTGGCAGAAAGATGACAAGCAAACAATGACTGTATGACGTGGAAGAACATAAGAGGTCCATGAGATAAATCATTAGCCTCCTCCTATAACATGGGAATAATACCTACCTTGTATGATGGTTGCTGGATAGAGTGAAATGCTCGTGTTACATGTTTGGCAAAGCCCCTGACCCACAATAAGTGCTCAGTGTATGGGATCTATCATGTTGCAATGTTGCCAGCCAGTTCCAGGATAATTACTAGGATATAAAGCTAGAAAAACAACTTAGTGTCAGACTCAGAGACATTTTAAATGCCAGTCTATAAAGAGTTTGGACCTTCAGTGTGATGAAAACAAGTGTGCCGAGGACAGTAATCATTCTGCAAAGAAATTAGAGCTGATGCTATTTTACACTACCTTTCAAAATTCATCGTAAGTGAGATGGAGTCAGTAAAAACAGTTGGAACTAGTTTAAAGGAGTGTGGTATTTGATGTACTGAAAGGAAAGATGATATTTTCAAGTTTGATGCCCTGTACTTTTTCTTCCACAGTAATTAGTGAATGCCAAAGACAGCAACTGGAGTCTGTGAGCTACTCCTCTCGCTACGCTCTGGGCCTCTTTTATGAAGCTGGCACGAAGATTGATGTCCCTTGGGCTGGGCGGTACATCACCAGTAATCCCTGCATTCGCTTCATCTCCATTGATAATAAGAAACGCAATATAGGTCAGTACCCCCATTATTTCCCTTAAATACAGTAACAATGGTGGGTGTAGATCATGAAAAATGCTGTTTAATTGAGTGTTGCCATTCTGAACAGAGCAAGCATTTAACTCCAAGCCACGGGGGATAAAATTTAATGTCACATTTGGCCAATAATAAAATACACAGTGAAACCAGCAAAGTTTTTCAGAAAATCATTCACCACATGGTTTGTATTACTTGAGTTTATGAAAATAGTGTCAGAAGGTTTAAGATTTCAAAATGGCCCAAGTTTATATTGCTTTAATATGGATCCATCTATATGCAAATGGATCTCTCATCATTTGTTTCTTGATGGAGTTTGTTTTTGTTTATTTGGTTTTGTTTTGAAAATTTGATGAGTGCTGCTCTTTCCACTTCCCAGGCTAGATATAAAAAGTGAATTTTACTATATTATGAAAATCCTTCACTTCTATATAATTTTATTTATTTAATGTTCATCTAGAAGACTACATAAAACTACTTTGTATACAATGTATATAAAATAATAGGTTAAATGTTTCATATGAGCCTTACTAGGATAGGATAAAATCTACACTGCACCCTTTTTGTTGAAGATAGTAAAATTAGATTTGAATTGCAAGAATAAGCATAACTGATTCCTTTTGGTCATAAAGGTGAAAGCATATTCTTATTTGTAGAATTGTAGTGATCACTAAGATACTACTTTTTGTGGAAGAAACTGTAACGATCTAAAATGACTAAATTCTTCAAAATAATTGTCACTGCAATTTGTTATGGTGTTTTATGGTGCAGTGATGGTTTCATCAAGCTTTAGTTAAAAGTTTTGCCTGATAAAATCACCAACTAATGTCTCTTGACTTGCCAGAACTTTATAATGACAGAACTGGGCTGGAGTATGGTTTTTATATCAGAACACATGATCTTAGAAAAATGTTTCTTTTATAACTTAAAACTCCCTAAGGGCTGGCCTGTTTATGTTAACATGATATCACATATATGTACAATCAGCAGTTCATGAAATGCCCTGTAACAGCAATAGACTAACCATTTTTAACTCGACAACTGCTTTGTTCTGAGAAAAGGAAAATAGCCCTTGGTCTTCTCATGTTATATGTCAAACCTTCTGTCTGTGAGCCAGAAAGAGAGTCCTCACCAGAAACCAAATCAACCGGTACCTTGAGCCTGGACTTCCCTTCGCCAGGAACTGAAAGAAGTAAATGTCTGTTGTTTAAGCCATCCAGTCTATGGCAGCCCAATCTGATACATTAGAAGGAAGACGCTAGGGAGACTTCGTGACTGATTCAGCCAATAAAAGAGCGGTATCTTCAAGGACCTAGGATTTATCCATCTCTGCTCTCTTCTATTCTTTATTTTTTAAGGGTTTTTTCTTTTTTTTTAATTTATTTATTTTAATTGGAGTCTAATTACTATACAGTATTGTACTGGTTTTTGCCATGCATTGACATGAATCAGCCATGGGTTTACATGTGTTCCCCATCCTGAATCCCCCTCCCACCTCCCTCCCCATCCCATCCCTCTGGGTCTTCCCAGTGCACCAGCCCCAAGCTCCCTGTCTCATGCATCAAACCTGGATTGGCGATCTGTTTCACATGTGATAATATACATGTTTCAATACTATTCTCTTAGATCATCTCACCCTCGCCTTCACCCACAGAGTGCAAAAGACTGTTCTATACATTTCTGTGTCTCTTTTTCTGTTTTGCATATAGGGTTACTGTTACCATCTTTCTAAATTCCATATCTATGCATTAGTATACTGTATTGGTGTTTTTCTTTCTGGCTTACTTCACTCTGTATAATAGGCTCCAGTTTCATCCACCTCATTAGAACTGATTCAAATGTATTCTTTTTAATGACTGAGTGATATTCCATTGTGTATATGTACCACAGCTTTCTTATCTATGCGTCTGCTAATGGACATCTAGGTTGCTTCCATGTCCTGGCTATTATAAACAGTGCTGTGATGAACGTTGGGGTACATGTATCTCTTTCAGATCTGGTTTCCTCGGTGTGTATGCCCAGAAGTGGGATTGCTGGGTCATATGGCAGTTCTATTTCCAGTTTTTTAAGGAATCTCCACACTGTTCTCCATAGTGGCTGTACTAGTTTGCATTCCCACCAACAGTATAAGAAGTTTCCCTTTTCTCCACACCCTCTCCAGCATTTATTGTTTGTAGATTTTTGGATAGCGGCCATTCTGACCAGCTGAGATGGAACCTCAAACCTCGAATAACCAAAGCAGTATTGAGAAAGAAGAATGGAACTGGAGGAATCAACCTGCCTGACTTCAGGCTCTACTACAAAGCCACAGTCATCAAGACAGTATGGTACTGGCACAAAGACAGAAATATAGATCAATGGAACCAAATAGAAAGCCCAAAGATAAATCTACACACCTATGGACACCTTATCTTTGACAAAGGAGGCAAGAATATACAATGGAGAAAAGACAATCTCTATAACAAATGGTGCTGGGAAAACTTGTCAACCACTTGTAAAAGAATGAAACTAGAATACTTTCTAACACCATACACAAAAATAAACTCAAAATGGATTAAAGATCTAAATGTAAGTCCAGAAACTATAAAACTCCTAGAGGAAAACATAGGCAAAACACTCTCTGACATAAATCACAGCAGGATCCTCTTTGACCCACCTCCCAGAGTAATGGAAATAAAAGCAAAAATAAACAAATGGGACCTAATGAAACTTAAAAGCTTTTGCACGACCATGGAAACTATAAGCAAAGTGAAAAGACAGCCTTCAGAATGGGAAAAAATAATAGCAAACAAAGCAACTGACAAAGAATTAATCTCAAAAATATACAAGCAACTCCTGCAGCTCAATTCCAGAAAAATAAATGACCCAATCATAAAATGGGTCAAAGAAGCAAACAAACATTTCTCCAAAGAAGACATACAGATGGCTAACAAACACATGAAAAGATGCTCAACATCACTCATTATCAGAGAAATGCTCCCTTCCATTCTTAATGTTGACATCCTCAGAGGAGTGGTAGCAAGATGGCAATAATTGTTGGAGTCACATTCAGACCCAGCAACATGCTTAGGAGGAATAAGGACTGTTACTGTCTCTGTCCTTTTATGAGATCAAGGAAATCTTTCCAGAAACCTCTCAACTGACTATCTTGTATTATAGGTCATAATTGTGTTATAGACCATCGTAGGTTACTCACAAGTCTGAAACCAATAACTGCCAAGTGGGGGTGGGACTACCATTACAATCCTACAGACAAATCAACATCTACTCCTGGAACTGGTATTAGGATCATCTTCCCTTTAGTCATATGAGTGCATGCATGTGTGTTTAGTCGCTCAGTCATGTCCAGCTCTTCACAACCCCATGGACTGTAGCCCACCAGGCTCCTCTATCCATGGGATTTTCCAGGCAAGAATACTGTAGTGGGTTTCCCTTTACTTTTCATCTTCCAGGGGATCTTCTCCACCCAGGGACTGAACCCCCGTCTCCTGAGTCTCCTGAATTGACAGGCAGATTCTTTACTGTTGAGCCACCTGGGAAATCCCCCACATAAGAGTAGATACCTGAATAAAATATGAGTTTGTGGGGAAGAAAGAAGAAAATAGTGATTCTGGGTTGGCAACAAATAATTTCCATTCTCTTCAAGTAGATTCATGTCTCATGTGGGAGATAAGGTTGTAAAGTTGACACATCAAGATAAGAATCATGTATATTAATACCTTAAAACTACATGATATTTTGAAGAGTGACTTCACGTTCAGTAAATTCAGTATAGCCATTTTGCTAGCATTCAGTAGATTTCAGTTTATTTGGGTGAGGCCAGATGAAATTGTGAGTTTGCATCTGTAGGCCAGAATGATATTTTCTACTACGAAAGGTGCACAAGAAAGAAAGAAATAGCAGTCATATGGCCTAACAGAGTAAATCTCTGTGCAAATGGAGTAGGATGGTAAGTGAAAGTACCACTACAATGCAGTAGCCAGTTTATAAAATCAGAGTTATGCAAACTTGAAAGAGTACGACATAAGAATATTAATAAATTCTCACAAGATGGGCAGCTTTTGAAATCATGTATGTGTACACACATGCATTCTCAGTCATGTTCAACTCTTTGTGATGCCATGGACTGTAGCCCTCCAGGCCCCTCTGTCCATGGAGTTTTCCAGGCAAGAATACTAGAGAGGGTTGCCATTTCCTCCTCCAGGGGATCTTCCTGACCCAGGAATCAAACCCAAGTTTCTGGCATCTCCTGCATTGGCAGGCAGATTCTTCACCACTAGTGCCATCTGGGAAGCCCTTTTAAACCATAGAAATACCAAAAAAAAAAAACAAACCATTTTTTTTTTATATATATATATATAAACAATCACACAGTTTTAATGCTTGAGGGTCAGGTATTTGGGAACCATGTTTTTGCTGCATGGTGCACCATGGTGATGCCACTTCAGACAGCAAAGAAATACCTTCCTTCCTTTGCCAGTTTTATGAAAAATTAATTTTGGATTATGCAAATTTTAAATTATAGGAGGGCCCCTGTTAGCAGGAGACAAGGGTTTGATCCTTGGTCCAGGTGGATCCCACAGGCAACTAAGTCCATGGCCACAACTACTGAGCCCGAGCTTTAGAGCCTGCAAGCCGCAACTCCTAAAGCTCACCTGCTTAGAGCCTGTGCTTTGCAACAAGAGAGGCCACCAAAATGAGAAGCCCATGCACTACAACTAGAGAGCAGGCCCCACTCATCGCAACTAGAGAAAAGCCCCTGCAGCAGTGAAGACCCAGCATAGCCAAAAATAAATAAATACAATTTAAACAATTTTTTCTCACTCTCTGGGGCCAGGGTGCTAAGTATATCTATTTGAATTCACATAATGTAAATGTCCATATAAGTAACTCCACTAAGTTTTATTTAATGCTGGTATTTAAGTAAACCAGGAAGAATTGTCTCTTTATGTTACTAACACTACCCAACTCCAGCCTTT